AGTTTTCCCTTTAAGAAACTGGTAAAAGAAGAGCACATTAAAGCCAAAGTAAGCAGAAGAAAGTAAATAATAAAGATAAAAGCAGAAACCAACGAAATGGAAAAACAGAAAAACAATGGAGAAAATCATTAAAACAAAAAGCTGCTTCTTTAAGGACGTGAAGATGTCTAGTATTTCAAGAACTATTAAAGAACAAATGCAGTTATGTTCCTGACGTTGCTATTTTTAGTAAATAAGAAAACTACATCAGAAACCAGGGAAAATATTTGTATTTCTTGGAGTGTTTGCTTATGCCTGCCTGATCCTTTTTCTTAAGAATATGAAAGATACTGTGTGCTACTGAAGAGAAGAAATCCATAAAGCATTTTGAAATGCTTTACATATTTTTCCACAGTGTTTATACATAGATGGGTGTGTCCACGTCGTTCTCATCAAGAGTGCAGAACTTGTGGTCGGAGCATCTTGCTGTCTGTGTTCTTCTACACTCTAGTCCCTGTTTGGCTTCTCCTCCTAGAATGATACTTGGAGAAACAGTTCATTCATTTATTCATTCAACAGTCATTGTGAAATGCTACAATGTGCCAGACACTGTGGGACATGCTGGGGAGCACAGCTGTGAACCAGACAAACAGGATCCCTGCCCTCTGAGCACTGAGTCTGATGTGAGATACAGCAAGTAAATAGGCAACAACAATAGACCAGTGTGAGAGTGCCATCATGGAAGGGACAAGTTCCAAGGAAGTCCACAGGACGGCCCTGGAATATTCCTCAAGCTAGCGGCTAAAAAGAATTTTTTAAAAATATAACATTTATTAGGAATTTTTATAATTTAACATAGGCAATAAAATGTTAGGTATGGAGCAATATGGTATGAGTTCAATTCTCAAATTAAACTCATATGTACCTAATATTTATTCCTTATCCTGTTCACACTGTATTGAGGCTCTGTTTAAATTAAATTTTCACCTCAGTCAAAGCAAAAATAAGACATCTAGAATGCTTTTTTTTAACTAATTTTTCATCTTCTTTTTTTTTGGAGGAGGGGGGACAGAGTCTCGCTCTGTTACCCAGGCTAGAGTGCAATGGCGCGATCTCGGCTCACTGCAACCTCCTCCTTCGAGGTTCAAGCGATTCTCCTGCTTCAGCCTCCCGGGTCGCTGGGACTACAGGCACACACCACCACACCTGGCTAATTTTTGTATTGTTAGTAGAGATGGAGTTTTCACCATGTTGGCCAGGCTGGTCTCAAACTCCTAACGTCGTGATCTACCCACCTCGGCCTCCCAAAGTGCTGGGATTACAGGCATGAGCCACTGCACCTGGCCTACTTTTCCATCTTCTTATTTAGAATTTTTTATGAGTATTCTAGAATAGAAAGATCACAGAGGTTGTTTTCGCCCGTTCAGGACTTTGTAAGGATTTCTCTGTTACACTGGGGCACAAAGAAATGGCAGAACCTGAGCCAAAAATTCCTATGCTCAGACAAAGTTCAAGGGATTCTAGGCTTAGAGAAATAAGGCAAGACCAGGAAAATGTGAATATTCCAAAGGTTAGTTAGGAAGGGGTCCATGATTCATGCAGAGGGTCAGATTTTTTTAAATTATGCATTTCCTTTACCCATCGATTTCAGCTTTGCAAATGTATCTTCAGGAAATTATTACAGCAGTCCTCCCTTATTTGCAGTTTCAATAACCATCAACCAGGGTCCAAACGTAGGTGAGTACAATAAATATTTTGAGAGGGAAAGAGAGACCATATTTACATAACTTTTCTTACAGTCTATTGTTAAAATTGTTCTATTTTGTTATTTGTTGTTAATCTGTTACTGTGTCTAATTTATAAATTAAACTTTATCATAGGTATGTATGTATAGGAGAAACACAGTCTCTATGGGTTCAGTACTACCTGCAGTTGCAGGCATCCCCTGGGTGTCTTGAAAGGCATTCCCTATGGATAAGGGGGGACTACTGTCTATACATCCACATTTTAGCTATGAGGTTGTTCCCTGCAGTGGGCTACACTGAAAAGTTGGGAAAAAAACTAGTTGCCAAACAATAGTAGCCTGGCTAAATAAATTATGTCATAGCCACACAGTGTAATTCTAAGCAGGTTTTAAAATTATGTAATGGTGTTTCTCAAATTTTGTTGTGTATTAGAATCACCTGGAAGGCTTGTTGAAACACAGATTGCTGGGCCCCACCTGCAGAGTTTCTGATTCAGTTGATCTTGGATAGGGTCCAAGAATTTGCATTTCTAACAAGTTCCCTAGGGATGTTATTGGTCTGGGGAACCACTCTCTGAGAACCACTGATGTAGAGATATGTTTGTTGACTTGGAAGAATACCCACCAGGTATATAAAGATGTTTATGTTGTATTTTATATGTATGCATACATATAGAAGTTGAGGTAGAAAGATATTATCAAGTTGGCATCCCTGGTTGTCTCTGGTTGCCTCTGGAGGTAGATCACATTGTAGGTACTTATTATCTTCAGTATTTTACATGACATATTTCTCTGTAATGAGCATAATATTAACCACCAAAACACAATAAAATTTCTTAATTAAAAAATGAGATCATGTAGTCCTGGCCAATAGCACAAACAAGCCAGAAATACTGAAGTATGCATGAACCTGAGCAAAAAAGCTTGACCCCTGGCTTTCTAAATATTCATATATCTTGTTGGGAGTGTGTATTCAGAAGCAGTTGCAGAGGATTGGTGATGGGCCTATAGATACATCCCCTTCCTTATGGGAACAAAAAAACAGAAGAGGCTGATACTCTCCTGAGGCTCCTGCGTGTTTTCTTACTTCGTTTCAGTCATGCCATGCAGGCTTCTTCTGGGGAAGTTTGAAGAAAAACTGGGTAGGACCCAGAGGGCGACCTGCCAGAAGTTGGGAGCATCTGGATTGGCACACTCTTTGTTTCCTGATGCAGGGTAGATCCATTTCCCAGGGTATCAGATGAAGGCGTCTCCTTTCTGGAAAAAAGATTTCATGGTTTAAATTCCCGTTCACTTTTGTGTCTGTGGCACTCTGCTGTCTCCTTTCCAGCACACAGCCTCAGGGGTCATGATGTCCCTTCCCTGCCGATATCCGAGTGCCAACTGTGGTGTCATGCACACCAAGCACAGAGCCGCCATTCAGTTCCCACTGTCTGGGCTCAGGAAGCAGAAGAGCTTCAAAGTTCCTACAGACCTTGACAGAAGCTTCCTCTGGCTTTGCCTGTGTGGAATAATTCTTAGTGGGAGGGGGAGATGGAATGGGGTGGGAGAAGGAACTAGGGTAAATGTCAAGGGTAAATATGTGGCAGAGACAGAGAGACCAAACAGTTGCCACCAATGCTCAGGAAAAGGAAGGGTGGGCAGATAACGAGAAGGACACCAGAGACTTTTCGGTGGAGCGCTGGCTTGGGTAGCACTGGCTTGGGTAGCGCTGGCGTGCCCTTTTCCATGTCCTTGCATTACTGTGATTGATAAAATAGGAGGTAACACATTATTGATACCCTTTAGATCAAGGGTTCTCCCTGTCTGACAGAAATGCCAATGTTTGGAGGTCAGATTGAGAACAAGTTCTATATAAAGCCCACAATGGATTCAATTTTTTAAAAAATGTTTCACAATAGAAAATCATGTTCTGGTTTAGGCTGTTGCTAAAAGAAAAATATGTTACTTCTCTACTGACTTTTGAATATATGACATATCATTTATTGGAAAATTTCGTTTTCTGATAAGCTTCTTTCCACCACTTTGCATGTGGATAAATGGGACAGAATGTGGTTTGAGTTAAGCTACAATGTTTTATAAGTTTTAAAAGTTCAAAAATAGCTAGAAATACAAATACCAGTTAATTATGCAGTTATTTCTTACTATTGTCATAATACTGGTGCTGTAACATGAAATTCAGTATGCAAATGAATTTAGGAAGTTATTTGGAATTCTCACCTATTACACAAGTGCCAAGAACAATGTTAAATTAATTCATTTGTTTACTAAAAATTTATTGAATACTTCCTATGCACCAGGCACTGTCCTAGGATGCATCCGTGACTGCCTACATGAAGTTTATGTTCTAGACTGGGAAGACAGTAAACCACTAAACCACTACAAATACAATGTCAGATGGTGATAAGTACTAAGAACAAAAATCAGGCAGAGCCATTATAAGGACTTTGATTCTCGTTCTGAGGAAAATGGGAGGTCTTCAGGTGAGGGCGATTTAAGCAGGGGAGTGACATGATCCAGCCTCTGTAGAGAACCACTCCGGACAATGGGCTGCAGAGGCCAAATGTCTGCTAAATTATTACCCTCTCCTCCAAAGTTATAGTCATTGAGGACAGGTCTGTACCAGTAGACCCTGGAGATGTGATCCCACACAGTTGACTCTGTTCTTTTCATACCTTTGGTAGAAAACTTTTCTCTAAGGTGATACTTTTATATCCAAAAAGAGAGAGTTCTATTTTTAGGCAATGTAAATCAGATATCACCTCTCTGCCTATGGTGTCCCATTGGCTTTCGCTACAGTCAGTATAACTGTACTGTGACTGTCACAGGGCTCCATTCGTGTCTGTCTCACACCTGCTCTCTGTCCGCCTCTCCAGCCACTCTCTCTGTTCGCTGATCTCCAGTCACACTGACTTTGTTGTTCTTCCTTGAACGAACCAGGCTCGACTCTGCCTCAAAGCCTTTAAGTTTGCTCTTCCCTCTGCCCAGAATGCTCTTCCCAGCAAGATTTTTGTATGGCTGCCTTTATCTCAAGAGTCAAGTCTCTGCTGATCACTCAATGTATATTTCTGTGTACATTTCTGCACAGGCAGCACATCTGCTCCTTAGAATAACAGGGCAGCCCTTTCCCAGGTGTGCTCAAGGTCTAAAAAACCTCTTGTTATCTTACTGCTCACAGATGACATACGGCATAAATCAAACAGGGACTACATTAGGCAAACAATTCAGGGTTTGCACACAGTCCTATAAATGCATGGTATTTTCTTTCTTTTTACAGGTTATTTTCAAAGCTTTGTCACCACCATACGATGCAGAAAACCCTTACAGTGCCAAAGTTCAGGAGCAGCTGAAGATCACCAACCTTCGCGTGCAGCTGCTGAAACGACAGTCTTGTCCCTGTCAGAGAAATGACCTGAACGAAGAGCCTCAACATTTTACACACTATGCAATCTATGATTTCATTGTCAAAGGCAGCTGCTTCTGCAATGGCCACGCTGATCAATGCATACCTGTTCACGGCTTCAGACCTGTCAAGGTCCCAGGAACATTCCACATGGTAGGTGAAACAAGTCCTCCCCTAAGAAAAACAAATCATGAGTTACCTTCACCTTTGGGCATTGGTTGGTATATGCTTAACATAGTGCTGCTAAATTCTTCCTCTGCGCATCACAGCTCCGACATCATACCCATCCTGTAAAGTGTCTATTAACTTGTCTTTTAATCTTCAGTGTTAAGAGTTATAGTCAAGCATGATAACCTTGGAAAACACCCTTGCCAGTTTTTAGTACTGTGACCTTCAGATAGAAAGTGTAAAGTGAGCAGGAGCGAGAGGATGGCATAATCCTATTAGTGGTATTATCGCACAGAAACCAGCTTTGACAGTAAATGGGGACTATTATGGAGTAGATTTTAAAGTGGGAAAAATAAGAACCTCGATTTTTCTGCCTGGTATCATTGCTGTCCAGCCAGTAGAATGAATAAAAATTCTCCACGAAGAGGACTGACCCCCTCCTCACCCTAAGGCAGAGTTAAACTCTGTCCTCTAGCTTCATGCATCTCCTGGGCTTTTCTCTGAACTTTTACTTCTCTGCATCCCTCAGGAGACCGCAAACTCTCTGAGGATCTGTATGATCTTTGCATCCTCAGGACCAAGTGCATTACCTGGGCCAGAAGTAGGTGCTCAGTAGGTGTTCGGTTGAATGATAGCAACATAGGAACAGGGAGATGATGAAAAATTAGTGTCACTGTTCATCTGTCTTTACCTCACCAATTTCCAGAAAAGATACAGAGTGACTCAGCAGTAAGGACCTTGTTGGGACACATGCAGAGACCAAGGATGGGGACTGGCAAGGAGAAAACAAGAATAAGAGCGCTCCAATTCTTTGATTTTACATTTTGCCCTGGTACTTCTGTGCATATCAAAGCAAAATAATGGAAAAGGCTGCAGAATATTCAACTGCATTTCCTAAAGGGTAGACGTCCCTATTCTTTGTTCTTTCTCCCAGTCCTAGTATAGGACAGGCCCCCAGCAGCCAGGATCCAGTTAGCCAGCAGGACAGTTTGTGCTGGCCGGGCTGAGTCGCTGGCGCAGCATCAGGGTAACTACAATGACTAGGACAGTCACCAGAAAGTAACCAAAATAGAAACAGTGCTATTTCTTACAGTCGTTAATCCGGGGCTCTCAGAGTTGAAGAAAATTTTGCCGTCATTCAACAGATACCTGCTAGTTTCCAGACACTGAAGTATCTTTGAAATCCTACAATATTGCTCCAAATAAAGAGTGGTATGATTTAGTGTATCTCGGTTAACTGGGTTCAGGTAGGATTCAGTCAGAAAATAATAGATATTAAGAGACATGTCGGCCGGGCGCGGTGGCTCACGCCTATAATCCCAGCACTGTGGGAGGCCGAGGCGGGTGGATCATGAGGTCAAGAGATCGAGACCATCCTGGTCAACAAAGTGAAACCCCGTCTCTACTAAAAATACAAAAAATTAGCTGGGCATGATGGTGTGTGCGTGTAGTCCCAGCTACTCAGGAGGCTGAGGCAGGAGAATTGCTTGAACCCAGGAGGCGGAGGTTGCGGTGAGCCGAGATCGTGCCATTGCACTCCAGTCTGGGCGACAACAGCGAAACTCCGTCTCAAAAGAAAAAAAAAGAGAGACATGTCAACCTAGAAAGCTTATGTGAGGTGGAGTGCTCATAATATTTTGCCATGATATTTTAGTGAATTCGTGAAAGGAGAGTATGCAGGCCTTTTATTTCCTCAACTGTCTCTCATAATCCAAGCCATACAGGACCACCTCAGGGTAGAGTCCTGAGCAACATGACAGAGGCCCCCATAACATGGCGCAGGGTCAGCCCTCAATGAATATTTGTGGACTGAAGGACCTATGAGACTACCTAAATGGCGCTGATCAACCACATCAAAGTGCCAGAGTTCTCAAGGGCCTTATAAAAATTTCATGTGGCCAGGCCCAGTGGCTCACACCTGTAATCCCAGCACTTTGGAAGGTAAAGGTGGGTGAATCACCTGTGATCAGGAGTTCGAGACCAGCCTGGCCAACATGGTGAAACCCCATCTCTACTAAAAATTCAAAAATTAACAGAGAGTGGTGGGTGCCTGTAATTCTAGCTACTTGGGAGGCTGAGGCACAAAAATCACTTGAACCTGAGAGGCGGAGTTTGCAGTGAGCCGAGATCATGCCACTGTACTCCTGCCTGAGCTACAAAGCAAGACTGTCTCAAAAAAAAAAAGTAGTAATTTCTTTTTTTTAAAGTAGTCCTCTAAATATAAACTTTCAGAGTTAACAACATTCAGGCTGAAGAGAAAAATTCTAGAGGTTTCTCTTCGTTCTGCCAAATTCAACAAGGGATAATTATTGCAAGTTAATAGACACTTTTAAAGAAGTCTTAAAATATAACTATTCTATACAATATACTGCCAGCAAGGAAATTATCAGCCTATAAAGCGTTCAGGATAACCAAGTAAAGGGAATTATACAGTAAGGGTTTACCATTTCCAAAGGATGTTAGAATGAGACATCTCCATCCTAGAAGACCCTATGGAGTGGAAACCTCATTTTCTTACTAACCTCAGGCTGCTTTGAAATTGGAAGTAATTTCCTTTTAAAATAATAGTAGTTTTCTGACATCCTTCTATCCCATTTTCGTACTGATTTCAAATTCTGCAGCAGCGGTAGTGGCCCCTAGTGCTATAAGTAAGCATGTGTTTGAGTTTGACTAAGCTAAGCCAAAACCATGGATAAGGCCAGGTAGCGGGTAAAAACAGCCTAAGTGGCCAAGACTATGTCGGCTTCCAGGGATCCAGTTCCATGACAATTCTTGCTGTCTCTACTCTCTTTAGAAAAAAGAAAAAAGAACCCATAAGCAATTGGACTGATAGTGGCTATGGTTGGAAATGTGAATGATTCTGGTTTTAGATTTTTCCACCCCTAAGTTTGGATGCATTTGACTTTTATCTATGCTTTTTTCTGAATTAGAAAAGAACTTGTGTTAAATTTGGAGACGGTTGCCTCTTTTGAATGTGGTGTTTTAATTCCTATGGTTGCTTCGCTTGAGCAAGTTGCACATTGAAAGCGTAGTCTTTTGCTTTATTAAGAACATGGGCGTAGATTAATTGTCTTATATTTGTGCCTCTGGACACCATTCATTTTATGTATACGCCTGTAGAATACCTGGAATCTGATTGTGCCTGCAGAATGGAAGGTAGCTTCTTAAGAAATACTGTTCTTTTGCGGGGTGCCTTAGGTATGTGTGCACACATCTAACCTTTAAGCACAGTTTTTATTTCAGCAGTGGAGTGTGGTCCCTGCACCAGCACCATCAGCCTTACCTGGCAACTGGTGAGAAATACACATTCTCAGACCTTACCCCAGACCCACTGAATCCGAAATTCTAGAGATGAGGCCCAAGAATCTATGTTTAACAATCCCTCCCAGGTGTTCTAATGCTTACTAAAGCTTGAAAACCATTGCTTTACAGACTAGGGCAATTCATCTGTGGCTAATATTGTTGCTAAAGTGAGGAATTAGTCAATGAAATCTGATTTTATGGGCTAGAATTTTTTTTTTTTTAAGACAGAGTCTCGCTCTGTTACCCAGGCTGGAGTGCAGTGGCACGATCTCGGTTCACCGCAACCTCCGCCTCCCGGGTTCAAACAATTCTCCTGCCTCAGCCTCCTGAGTAGCTGGGATTACAGGTGCATGCCACCATGCCCAGCTAATTTTTGTATTTTTAGTAGAGATGAGGTTTCACCATGTTGATCAGGCTAGTCTCAAACTCCTGACTTCGTGATCTGCCCACCTTGGCCTCCCAAAGTGCTAGGATTACAGGAGTGAGCCACCACCCACAGCTGAGCTAGATTTTTTTATGGCTGATAAAAGCAAATTAGGGAAGTTAATGGAAATGGCACCCTATTTCTTAAACTATATAAGATTTTAAGGTCATTTCCTTTCTTTGGGAGAAAAGAATAGAAAAAGAGATGCAAATGAGGTGCCTCATTTATCTTGATACATTCCTCCTGTGTCTTTTTTTTTTTTGAAACAGTCTTACTCTGTCACCCAGGCTGGAGTGCAGTGGCGTGATCTTAGCTCACTGCAACCTCCCTCTCCTGGGTTTAGGCAATTCTCCTGCCTCAGCCTCCTGAGTAGCTGGGATTACAGGTATGCATCACCATGTTCAGCTAATTTTTGTATTTTTAATAGAGACGGGATTTCACCCTGTTGGCCAGGCTGGTCTCGAACTCCTGACCTCAAGTGACCTGCCCACCTCAGCCTCCCAAAGTGCTGGGGATACAGGCATGAGCCACTGTGCCTGGCCCCCTCCTGTGTCTTTTAACACAGCATCACCTTCCCCGTGTTTCCCCTTCTTCCCAGATCCATTCCACATATCCTTACCAGTTTAGTTTTCCTTTGTTTGTCCATTTTGCTGGAAGGCAGAACAGTGCAATGATGAAGACCCTGCTGTTGGAGCCAAACCCAGCTAAATTTTACTTACCACAGCATTTACTAAGTTACTTGGTCTCACTGAACCTCAGTTCTCTAATAAAAGGAGGATAATACCTACCTTTTGTAGTTATGGTAAGGATTTAGAAGTCTGATGCTCAGTGCCCAGGATAGGGTAGACACTACTTACATTGCTGTCATGATTCTATCGTGTTATCTCAGCCACCTCTACTCTTCTCCTTCATATACTACTTTGCCAATAATGACAAAAATAAATCAGAGCTTATGTGCTATATGACATGTTTACAAGGCTGAGGGTTTTGTGGCAAGGAAAACTGTATTTTGACTCCAGCCTGCTGGAATCCCAGAAATTATGTGAAGAGATCTTAAGCTTTTTCTCTTTGCAGCTGTAGAGGACTGATTTAGTTGTCTTTGTTTTTTTAGCAGCTGGTGATTTTACAGCTGTCGGGTGATGAATGGTAATCAGAGGGAATATGGAACATTTCATTATTTTATTCAAATATCATCCACTGGATAATATGGAGGCCTTAGAGTACTATGAGAAATATTTAATATTTACTGAGCTGTATT